CAGGCCCAATTTAAGCTTCCCGCTTCCTCGCTCTCGTCCTAACGAATAGTTTACGCCGCCGTTTTAGTAACACCTGTGCTACGCTATCGAGGTTAGGTTTATAGAATATTCTTCAACAACTTTTATTTTATTATTTTATTTTATTTTTTAAAAAACAAGATATGAATTATATTATATTACATAATTATAAGCATTATTATTAGATAAAGTTAAGCTTGCAGACATTAGAAGTCTTCCCATCTACTAACCAATGTTATGATTGTATAAATTTAAATTATAAAATAAAATTAACAATCTAAATAATTTAACATTATATTTTTTTTTGTTAAAAATAAAAATTTTTAAATTTGAATCCTATGACATACGAATAGAATAAGATAAAAGATGAAAAATAATTATTTTTTATTATGCAACTAAAATAAAAAATATATACACAAAATAAAAATATTTATTTTTAAAAAATAATAATATGAAAATAATTTTTATATAATTTTTATATATCATTCAATAAAATCAATAAATAAATCACTTAATATCATAAATTTTAAATAAATAAATAAATTATTTGACGAATACATAAAATTATATAAAAAATAATATTAAAAATCAACCCTTTATTATTTTCCTTTTCAACAACCGCCTCGTGCGATTTCCAATTTCTGAATTCTCCGAGTCCTGACCCCTGCATTTTGTATTTGGCAAGCTTTTATTTTTCAATCAAAGATTTCTGTCTCCGTCTCCACCAACCCACTCACCAACAAAACCACTCCGCCATCCAAAGCACCAATCTCAGCACATTCACAGTAGACGCAAGTTCTTCATCGGAAAACCAGAGAATGGCAATGGCAATCAGCCTCCGGAGGCTCTCCTCCTCCATCAAGTGCCCAATCATACCTCTTTCCCATCGCGGCTCCCTCTATTCCATGGTTCGGAGATCTAAACGCCACTGCTTCGCTTTATACTTTTGAGTTTCGATGTTCATTTCTTACATACATTCTTATTTCCGTCTGATGTACGCATGCAGTCTTCTTTTCCAAATGAAGCTGTAGCAGATAAAGAGAAGGCTCGTGCTACCGTAAGCCTCTTGTTCCTTCTCTTTTTTCTACATTCACTTGAAGAGTTCGTAGAAGGACCTAGCAGATCTGTTTTCTTTTTCTTGTTTGCGCTGTTGTAATTTGCACTGCAAAAATAGAAAGGTATTTTGTTTCAGTGGATACAGCAATTGAATGCTCCGCTGGAGCAAATCGATCCTGATATCGCCGACATCATCGAGCTCGAGAAAGCACGGCAATGGAAGGTATCATAGTCGATTCGTGCCAACCATTTTAATTTTATATTAATCACTGACCGTTGCTTCTTTCGCTGGAAAGAATTTGATCATTCAAGTTTTAGATAGTAATTTTTTTTTTTTAATCAAATGTGTAGGGACTTGAACTTATACCTTCGGAAAATTTCACTTCAGTATCAGTTATGCAAGCAGTAGGCTCTGTAATGACCAACAAATACAGTGAGGGATATCCTGGTGCCAGATACTATGGAGGAAATGAGTATGAGAATCCTCTTTACTTTTTAATATTTTCTGAATATTTTCAAATTTCAAATAATATCAAATGGAAAATGGATTTAAGAACCTGTACTGCCTAAAGTAAGCGAACAGGAAAGGATATGTTTTTTATTTGTGTTAGAATTACAAGCAGAACAAAATTTCTTCATGGTATCAGTTTTTGGTACAATTTGTTTGCAGGGTTGCAGTGTAATGTTTCAGTTTTTGTTTTTGATTAGGTATATTGACATGGCTGAGTCCTTGTGTCAGAAGCGTGCATTAGAGGCTTTTGGATTGGATCCAGCAAAGTGGGGAGGTGAATGAATCACTTTGATGATACCATTTGTTGCAAGATTGAGATTACTCCCCTGCCATTAACTTTTATCCTTGCTTCTGTTTCTTTTAAATGATTATCATTTTCATTTTGAGTACTTAAAGAATCTTGTCTATGAACACATTTTTAAGGGCAGTAGATAACCTTTGTTCTTGCAGTGAATGTGCAGTCACTATCTGGATCCCCGGCTAACTTTCAAGTTTATACTGCATTATTGAAACCTCATGAGAGAATTATGGCACTTGATCTCCCTCATGGTGGACATCTTTCTCATGGCTATCAGGTGCTTGAACTTTTTGCAGTTATAAGTTTTCTACTGAACTTGGTTAGATTTTCTCCATTCAAGTCATGGTAAGTTGGTAACTACCAACTAAAGGGACATAACTTTTATAGTTTCCATTTTCTAGCCCAATCGTATTGCTTATTATTTTAAGTTATGCTGCCCTTAAAATTTCTGCAAGATTCCCAGGAGGTTATTATAATTCTACTTCCTGTGTCCAAGAAAGCTATGCAATTTTTTTCTTGAACAAAACAAATTCTTTTGCTTTTGTAATGAAATTGCAGCTATCTTCGTGTGGTCTAGAAATTTTGACAGTATTTCAGACTTTTGATATTCAATTTATTCTTCTGGTTTTAAAAGCCTTATAATATATGTCTGGTCTAGAAATTATCATCAAAGGCAATTAAGCCAGGCCTGGCGTGACACTGAAACTTTCATTTTCTAATTGCATTATGCAGACTGACACTAAGAAGATATCTGCGGTGTCCATATTTTTTGAGACAATGCCCTATAGATTGAACGAGAGCACAGGTTACATTGACTATGATCAGGTAGCATGTTGCTTGATGTATCTCAGCTGCCAGGAATCTAATTTACTTTTATTGTTTTATTTTTTTAACTTCCTTGTTTGTTTTTGGATACATTAATTGCTTATTCCGAGTTGGAAGAGCAGTAGTTTAATAAGATTTATTTAACCTAAAGTTTTGGGAGTTACCCAAATTATCATTGTTAGGGGTCCACTAAAGATCTAGGTGATGCTGGCTAGGGCTTGAACCTCAAACATATGTTTAGTTCTGTTTTCTATGGAAGCAAATAAATTTTTGGAGATGAGAAGTATTTATGATAGTCATGTTCACTTATAACTTAAATTGTCATATCCTAATTATTCATTTTTATAATTGATGCATGGTTGATCCTAGGTTTTATAGTATAACTGAAATTCTGAATTTGATTGGAAATTGAAGTTCATCTTTCTACATGAATTAGGTAGTTTTCTAATTCTGGAGAAAAAGTTTTCCAAACCCTGAAAATTTTCTTCAAACTCTCTTCAAAAAGAGTTGATGTAGATAAATGAAAACTTTTGCAGTTGGAAAAAAGTGCTGCATTATTCAGGCCAAAGCTTATAGTTGCTGGTGCCAGTGCATATGCACGCCTTTATGACTATGCACGAATCCGCCAGGTAAAGTCCTTATGGCTTGGCTTACAAAATCCAAGGTCACATTCTCAATGAATTTTCTGACTTAACATTTGAGAATTCATGGAAATCTAAATTTTTTGGTTTACAGGTTTGTGACAAGCAGAAAGCAGTTATGTTGGCTGATATGGCACATATTAGTGGGTTGGTTGCTGCAGGTGTTATTCCATCTCCTTTTGAATATGCTGATATTGTGACAACTACCACACACAAGTCGCTTCGTGGCCCACGTGGTGCTATGATTTTCTTCAGGAAGGGGGTAAAAGGGATTAACAAACAAGGGCAAGAAGTGAGTTTAAACTTTAATCTTATTTCTGTACTTCGTTTTGTGCTAATCATGTGGGTGGACAAAAGGAAGGAGGAAAGAAAGAATTATTTGTTTTTAAGGCAGGAAATGTTCTCATCTGTTAGTATGCTTTATGATTAGTTTTTGTTAGTCATTTCAGGTCTGAAATTTGAAATAGAAGTAGTTATGTAAGTTAGTTATTCAGTGGTTAACTTTCATGCTGCAGGTGATGTATGATTTTGAAGACAAAATTAATCAGGCTGTTTTTCCTGGACTTCAAGGTGGCCCCCACAATCATACCATAGCTGGTTTAGCAGTGGCATTGAAGCAGGTGTTCTTTTACAAGACAAAATATTGTGTGATGAACTTCAGTTTCATTTATGTACATTCATATTTTTATATTTTGTGGGTTGCTAGGCCTTTCACTTTCAGTTGGTGGATTCGCATCCGTTCCTTTTGTTTTTGACTTTTTTTGTAACAATATAGGTCAGAACTCCCGAGTACAAAGCATACCAAGAGCAAGTTCTCAGCAATTGCTCAAAATTTGCTCAGGTATGTTGGAAAGTGCTGACATTGTTTGATGCAAGTTAATGACTTTGCTTATTTAAGCTTATTAATCTTCTTTTTGGAACAATATTATCTAACCTAAAAAAAAAAATGTAATCTCTTCTGGACAATTTGATTCACTGTTACACTTCAAATTCCACTGTATATACAGAGTTTGCTAGAGAAGGGCTACGAACTAGTGTCTGGTGGAACTGAGAACCATTTAGTATTGGTCAATTTAAGAAACAAGGTACAAGATATGTTCCATTGCTCCATTTCAATTGTTTTTCTTTGGACTTCAAGAACAAGTTTATGCATTATTTAAGATAATATTTCTAATTTAGCAGTCCAATAGGTAATAGGGATTAATATTTTCGTGGACCAGAAATCTAATCCATTATGCAATACAAAGGGAATCAGTTGCTTGTTTCTTATTTCTGAAATTTTGTTGAACAGGGTATTGATGGCTCAAGAGTTGAAAAAGTACTAGAATTGGTACATATTGCAGCAAACAAAAACACTGTTCCTGGGGATGTCTCTGCCATGGTTCCTGGTGGCATCCGTATGGGTATGGACCTCTCATCACTAAGCATCTCTTTTTTTTGTTGGATGCATGCTTCTGTTTTAATTTTTACCATTCCCTTGTTCTACTGGGCTTCAGGAACGCCAGCTCTCACATCAAGGGGCTTTGTTGAGGAAGATTTTGAAAAGGTAGCAGAGTTTTTTGATGCAGCTGTCCAGTTGGCCTTGAAAATCAAGGCTGATACGGAAGGTCCATCCCATTTCTCCCTGTATAAATCTGTATGTTTATATTATTCTAATGTGAGGTGAGGACTATGCTCACGGGATATCTCTTGTATTGTGACTAATCCAGGGACAAAGTTGAAGGATTTTGTAGCAACCATGCAGTCAGATGTGAACATTCAATCTGAGATTGCAAAGCTCCGACACAAAGTTGAGGAATATGCCAAACAATTTCCTACAGTTGGTTTTGAGAAAGAAACAATGAAATACAAAGACTGAAGAAGGCTCTTTGTTTGCAAGGTTTGTCATCTCCAATCCTAAAGGAATGTTTAGGCCAGATTGGAATCAAATGTGACTATTGATTTGTTGCAGAGACCGGAGTCTGCCTCTAGTGTTGTTTCCAAATTAAGTGGGTAGAATAGAGCATGAAATGGATGCAAAGATCCAGACAAGGTTCAAGGAATTTTCACACGGAATGTAAATTGGCACCGAACCGGGGTTTTTATTTTTATTTTGTGTATCATGACTTATTTTCCAGCAATAAATGGCAATTGCTAGCGTTATTCCTGCTCCAAAAAAAAAAAAAACGGGTGGTGGGGCCTATTGCAAAACATGCTACTTTCTGGGCTCTGGCCACTTTGCAGTTTTAGGATGGGCTTAGGGATCCTGGGCTGAAGCCCAGCTGGAAACACGGCTGCTTTACCAAATACCAGCAGGCCTAAAGGTGATTAGTCCCCGGGCCCCAAAATGATATTTCAATTTTCTTCAATGGAAGAGCCCAAAAAAATATTAGTAGTTCAAATACTTTTTAGTTTTTAATCTAACCCAACAATGATTGCCTGTTTTTTTACCCCCACACAAAAAATAATAAGAACAAATAAATAAATAAATAAAATAAAAAGAAAATGGAATTTGGAGCCTGGGGAAAGGCAGGTAGCTCCACTCCTTTATCCAGGGTCTAGCAGAAGGATAATGAAACAAAATGCTCACAAGTGCCATCCTCACTGAAAAAACTCCCATCTTTCTGGATGGCTTCTTTTGCTTCGTTTGCCTCCAGCGGGACTCTTAGACTGGAACCAGACCTTAGAAAGCTCCGCGCCACTTCTCTCGCCACCGAAAAAGTACACTTTCTTAAGCTCTATTTTAATGTACTCTGAATTCCATGTTTTTGAGATTTGATGGCATGATTTAATCCTCGCTGTTACTTGCCCTTTAAGTTGAGTTGTTTAAATCCTCTTTCAAATAACAAGAAATTACTTCAGTTAGATGTTAGTTAAGGTTAAGCACTATTGATTTTCAGCATTGATCTACCCATATTGACTTTCCATTGAATTTTTCCATCTTTAGGCTGCAAGAACAAGCCTGTCACATCCAAGAACTCTTACATTCACCCAATTAGAGGGCAAGTCAGAACTGATTAAGTCTCTGGACTTGCAAGAAGCTCTCTCAAGGATCAAAGAGGGTTTGAAGATTGAGACATTTTGTTACCTTCCCCTCTTGCGAGAATGCATACACCAGAATTCACTTTCAGGAGTGCAGATTGTTCATGGGCATATGATAAAGATGGGATTTTATCGAGATTTGTTCCTCATGGTATTCCTTGTCAATGCTTATTCAAAATGTGGAACCTTGGAAAATGCTCACAAAGTTTTTGACAATTTGCCTGGAAGGAATGTTGTTGCCTGGACCGCCCTGATGACAGGTTACGTTCACAATTCTCAGCCAGATTTTGCCATCAGAGTTTTCCGAGAAATGCTGGAAGGTGGGTCTTATCCAACTAATATTACTTTAGGAATTAGCTTGAATGCATGTTCTCTAATGAAGTCAATTGAACTGGGGAAGCAAATCCATGCCTATATTATCAAGTACCAAGTTCAACATGACACAAGTGTTGGAAACTCACTTTGTAGTTTATACTCAAAATGTGGCAGCTTGGACTCTGCTGTTAAAGCCTTTGAGAAGATTACAGAAAAGAATGTAATTTCCTGGACTGCTGTTATTTCTGCTTGTGGAGATAACAGTAGGGCAGCTAAGGGACTGAGATTGTTTGTTGAGATGCTCTCAAATGGTGTTGAACCTAATGAATTAACATTGACAAGTGTATTGAGCATCTGCTGTACACTGCTATCTTTGGGTTTAGGCTCACAGGTTCATGCCTTGAGCATTAAACTTGGGCACGGAACAAACGAGCGCATGATAAATTCTATCTTGTATCTGTATCTCAAATGTGGGTGGACTGATGAAGCTGCAAAATTGTTCCATGGCATGGAAGATGTGGGCTTGGTTACATGGAATGTGATGATTTCAGGCTATGCTGAATTGATGAATCATGTCAAGGAAGATCTATCAGCATATCATAGTGGAACTGAGGCACTTAAAATTTTCTTAAACTTGAATCGCTCAGGCGCAGAACCTGATCCATTTACTTTCTCAAGTATATTATCAGTCTGTAGTAGGTTGGTGGCCTTAGAACAAGGGGAGCAAATTCATGCTCAGACCGTAAAAACTGGGTATTTGTCAGATGCAATTGTAGGGAGTGCATTGGTGAATATGTACAATAAATGCGGAAGCATTGACAAAGCAAGTAAAGCTTTTGTAGAGATGTCTACCAGAACATTGATTTCATGGACTTCTATGATTTCGGGTTTTGCACATAATGGTCAAACTCAGCAAGCACTGCAGCTCTTTGAGGATATGAGAATAGCAGGAGTTAGGCCGAATCAGATTACTTTTGTGGGTGTTTTATCAGCTTGTAGCCATGCAGGGATGCTGGAAGAAGCACTCAGTTACTTCGAAATGATGCAAAAAGACTATAAACTCAAACCTGTGATGGACCATTTTGCATGCCTAATTAATACATTTGTGAGGGTGGGAAAGTTAGAAGAGGCTTTTGAATTTGTCAAGAAGATGGAATTCCAACCAAATGAGTTTATATGGTCACGCTTGCTTGCAGGATGTAGAAATCTTGGGGATACAGAATTGGCAATTTATGCAGCTAAAGAGTTACTCAAACTCAAACCCGAAGATGCTGAGACTTATCAGTTGTTACTAACAACATTCATGTCTGCTGAGAAATGGGAGTCTGCTTCTATAGTGAAAGAATTGGTGAGAGAGAAGAAACTTGAGAAACCAACAGATTGGAGCTGGATTAGCATTAAAGACAAGGTTCATTCATTCAACCCAGAGGATCCATTGCACCCTGAGAAGTCAGAAACATATGGTTTTCTGAATGAATTACTGGACAAAGCACAGAATTTTGGACATGACTCACTAGAAAATTTTGAGTTAAAGGATGAGGAACATGATACGATGACATTCTCTTCTCCTGTTCACCATAGTGAAAAATTGGCCGTTGCATTTGGCTTGTTGAATACATCTAATGCCGCAACAGTACGAATCATCAAGAGCAGTAGCATGTGCAGAGATTGCCATAATTTTATGAAGGTCATCTCTTCTATTACTGATAGGAAAATCATTATTCGAGACCGAGATAGCAGATGGCTGCATAAATTTGTTGATGGGCAGTGTTCATGTGGTGACTATGCCTGTCTACTTTGATATCTTGGCATGAGATGACAGGTCAATAATTTTTTTCTTTTTTGCTGATCATTTTTTGTGTTAAAAGGTTTTCTTCAAATAAATTTCCCAGTATAAAGTATATCTTGGCTGTTAATTTACTATCTGAATTGAAGCTCCAGTTTTTACTTAGAAACACAATGTTATTTTGTAATGACCAACATGACTTCAAATGAATAAGATACATATTAATTCATTCACCCTGTTAAGCAAGAAAAAGGAAAAATCAATCATAATTGCTGCCATGTAGGTGTAAGAAACTCTTTTGTAACATAAGATCATTTGTGAAATCATTTTCCTTAGAGATTTGAGGACTGGTTTTTCTCTGAATACTTTTCGCTACCAGAGCTGCAGCAATGCTTCTCCCATGAATGCAGCTTCTTTGATTAAGAAGCAAGGACGAATAGCCAGTTTGAGAAACCCTTTGGAACGTGTCTTGAGTTCTGTAAACCTTCACGGACGATTTTCTTGTGCAAAAATTATTGGGACCCTTGAATAAAAAGTTTCTTCAGATATATTCATTGGTTTAAGGCACTCAAGCAATCTTGAGATGCGTACAACTATGTAATGTTCATTTAATCTCGTCAAAACTATGTTTCCATCTCACGGTTTTTATTCTTAAGCATTACATATATCGGGAAATGGATTAAAGCTCAAACAGGATAGATTTACAAACAGCAACCAGGCAGAAACCTTGTAGCAGTACATACTATTCACTATTTCTCCTCTCCTCTCTTCCGTTCACTTTCTTTTTTTCTTTTTTTTTCTCTTACTGATTCTTGATGTATGAAGCCATCTACACGCGAAATGCAGGAGACATTACAGGACAACAAATCAGCGCCTCTTACATATAGACTTGGTAATCCTTGATTTGTCTGTTTCGTTTGGTGGTTTCCAAATGATGTCATCAAGGTTGCTACAGAAGTTCTTGTAAAACTGGAACATAGAAGTATGATTAGCTTTTGTCAGATCCAAAAATCTACCGAAATCAAACACATCTAGAGAAATCATAATGGAAAGGAGGGCAAGACATAATGGATAAAGTTATCCCTAACAACCAAGTCCAAAACAAAGATATTCAGAAGCTCAAGCTGATAATTGACATGAAACTGCAACGGCATAACTAACCTTCAGGTATTCACCAGCATCACCAGCCGCTTTCTGAATATCTACCATTAAAAATGTTGGAGCAACTTCAAAAACCTTTAATTCAACATTGGAGCAGAGCAAAAATAAAAATTAGTGGCTAAAACCAAGGGATGAAGATCATTCAGCAAAGAATCTGGAGGGAAAAGACATACTTCCAGGATAACTGTGAAATGAGAATTCTTATGAGCAGAAATGCCTTCCACTCTCATCTGAAAAACAACATAATCTGAGTTCAGATGACTATTGAAATACCAATAAACATGATCATTCATCTGTACACTAAAAGATGAATAAATAGACAATAAACTAATAGGAGAAGAAATTGTAGGCAAATCAAATCAGAATGTCAATTAAACATTAATTTTGGCGTAATGACCAGTAAGCATATTACAAAATCAAATAATCGGATCATGTGAGAAGAGAGTTTGCCTGTGTAATGTGTAGTCTACCTTGTAATTGCGGATATGTGTCTTGAAACCCATTGATTGAGCAACAACTTCCATGCTAGAAAGAACAACCTTTGCTGGCTTCTGTGAAATAAATCGTGTCTGATGCTTCACAGAGTCCTATCAGAGATGATAAGATATTCAAACTTCTTTTAAAGGCACGTAAAACATATACTGAACAGCCTAATTGAATCACATGCTAAACGCATGATTTTATGAAATTGATACTTCAACATTCTTCCTACAACTAGTGGTCAGTGACATGTCATTAATGAATATTATGCAGAGTAGTGGACTCATGAACATAAGATATGTTGAAGTGAATAATTTTAAGCATATATAAAGGAGTAGAACTGCTCAATCAGATATGTAAAAATTATTTAAGAATTCATACCTGCCCTTTATCAAAGAGGGATGCAAGGTTCAAGCCTTGAGATAGAATTATTAGGTCAAATGCATTTAGAATCAAAGGACCCATATCATTGTTCCCAGATTGCTCATTAGCACATTGTTCCTACATGAAACCAAATTGTGTTAAGCATCAGCAATAGAAATTAATTACAGATGCTATCATATGTTACTGCATATGTACAATGAATAATACAGAGCAAAAGATAGAATGTTTTCTATTTCCTATGACTGTGATATGTCAGTAGTTCTGCCAAAAGAAAAGGAAACGTGATGTATATTTCTAGAAAACAATGGGGTAATTTGTTAACCATATGGACTCAAAATCAATCAGAACACACCACTGACTATTCATGCAGCATCCATAGCCCCAAAGGTTATTTCAATAGTTATGCCCCTCAAAAATGTTTTTGAAGGGAAATAAGTGGGAGATTATTATGTATGATATCAAGAAGTTATTGTGCCAACAAACATACAGCAAAAAAAGAAAACCATACTCACTAAAGAAAAATATTAAGCTTCCAAGATAACCAAATGTCATTGAATTTTTTTTTTAAATATGAAAAATGAAGCCTTGAAAACCCTACCAACCTCAGGATCATCAAAAATAGCATTTACATCATCCAGATTAATATCTTCATATTCAATAAGTCTGACAGGAACATAATCCTTCTTAAACCATTCATCACTCCTGATTTCTTCAATTGTAATACGCTGCACAGCAAGAAGAGAGACAATATTCTTAAATATGCAACCAGAGATACAACAAACTCATTGATGCCAGTACTGAAAAGTATAAATCAGATAAATTGAATACCATTTCAAACAATAAAAGGAACATGCACCATGAGGATAGGAAAGTTCATACTTGGACTGGGAATCAATTAGGCAAGGTAATATGTAAGACTGTGAAGGTAGAAAGTTATCTTTCAGATTGTCTGCAACAGTGAATTCAGAAAGCTGAGAAAATAAAAAATGGCTACGCTAAGGCATTGGTCAACTTGGGCAAATTACAGTTCCATACTTTATTATTTTTTCCGGTGGAAGTATTTCCAAGCTAGCTTTTTTAGCTATTCATTCAATTAATCTGGCTTAAATAGGATAGATATCTCTTCTTATGTGGAAATGTTTGAAGTTTATTTTAAACATATGAAACTTAAAATGATGAATGGTATAAAACAAATTAAAAATAATAATGAACCAGAAACAAACTTAGATCTATTGAGCCATCTTGAGGCTCTATTAAAAAAAAGACAACCTTGGGTCAGAAAAAAAAAAAAAAAGGTTACAACTTAACATAATAAAATAAATAAATAAAAGAAACTTACTGTCTGAGGACTTGGATCCAGAATCCTGTGAATTAAAGATCTTGCTCCCACTGGAAACCATGATGGACAAGAAAATTCTGCTTTGGCAATCTGCCAATCAAATAAATTTCGAGTTTTCAGTAAGAACAATAATGAAACTTTAAACTGTAAAGTCTCAGCAGACAACCAAGATTAAGAAGAAAGATACACAATAATCATAATCTAGCAGTAATGATGAAGGTTCATGCCTTACTGTATAACGAGGTGATATCAACATCATCAAATGGAAGATAACCTGCCATCAAAACATAAAGGATGACCCCACAGGACCAAACATCTGCCACAGCACCATCGTAACCCTTACGACTGAGAACCTATAGCAAAAATGAAGAATGACAAGAATTATAGTAACTGAATAAATGACAGCAGCACTTAAAAAGTTTTAGTTCACCATAAAGCCAGCTGACTGCATTATCATTACCTCTGGTGCCACATAGTTTGGGGTCCCACAAGTTGTCCGCAAGAGGCTAACTCCCTGAAGACAAATATTACCCGATAATAGCACACAGGAGCCAATATTATTTCTCCCAACAACTAACGTGTCAAATTTAAAATAAAACAACAGTAATTCTAGTTTAATAACTTACTGGTTCAGGCTGCGCACTAAGGCCAAAATCTGAAATCTTTAAATTCCCTTGGGAATCAAGTAACAGGTTTTCTGGCTGCATTACCAAAAGAAACACTTCTAAATCCTTTAAGATATCGAAATGGAAAAACCCAAAACAGGATTCAAAACATTAGCAAGAAAATACCTTCAAATCTCTGTGGTAGACTCCCTTACTATGGCAATAGTCCACACCATCAATAAGCTGTTGGAAATATCTTCTAGCATCAGCTTCACTAAGACGTCCCTGATGAACCTGCATATTCATGGTTAGATCCTGCCTCGACTGATTATCAAAGAAAACAAATACCAATTCCTTAACTACCAACAGCTCAAGTAAGTGTTAGACTACTCACTATTTTATCAAACAGTTCACCCCCAGTAATGTACTCCAAAATTATATAAATCTTAGTCCGGCTTGCTAGAACCTGATAGATGAAATTACCAGAAATGTAAAAATAAAATAAAGCAAATTCTTGTGAAGCAAATCAATTACCCAAAAAAAAAAAAAATCAGATCCCTTACCTCATGAAGACGAACAACATAAGGATGTCTAACAAGCTTCATTATAGATATCTCCCTCTTGATCTGCATTAAATAAAAAGAAAAGAAACAATACCAGAGCTTAATTTATGCCAAAAATAAGAGGAAATTAGTTTCTTTTGGAACTACTCCAAGCTAAAAGTTGCAGTAAGTTGCAGAAACTTCAATTCAAGGCATAATCGCCGCCGTCTGATGCTTTTAGACAGAAAATAATAATAATAATAATAATAAACAAGAAAGAAGTGAAAATTGCGAACCTGATCGACCATTTTGTGCTTGATGATGGTGCTGCGATCGAGAACTTTCATGGCTACACTCTCGCCGGTCTCCGTGTTCTGTGCGAACTTCACCTTCGCGAACGTTCCTTCCCCGATGGTCCTCCCGATTTCATACTTGCCGACTTTCCTCACCACCATCTCTACCTCTTTCTGAAGCTAGTTTCCTCCTAATCACTTCAATCTTTTCATTTCAACACCTCTCTTTCTCTTTCCAGCCTTTTATTTTTATTATTATTATTATTATTTTTAGATACAGAGATTCATCAAAAAATGCCAAGCTTCCACGACAAGATTTCTACTTTCTAAAGTAGAAAAATCAGCACCAAATTCAGCAAAGGAGAACGAAAAGCGAATTCTTGGCAGAAAAAAATGATGGTAAAGGAAAGGGCATATATCTCATAAGTATTTTTTTTTTTTTTTAAATTTCAAGAAAATATTTACGTATGGGGAGAGGAATTTATGGGATTTAAAGGTATTAGGTTTGGTAAGCTGAGAAAATCAAAGTAATTAGCTCAGGTTTTGACAGAATGAACTTCATCTCTCTCTTTTTTCCTTTTTTCTTTCCTTTTTTTTTTTATTTTTATTTTTTATGAACTATCAATTTTGAACATAGGGTTTTCTTCTTTTTTTTTTGAGGAAATGAAAAATTTTAACAGTTGTGATTTTTTTATAATGAAGATGCATTGGAATGTAGAGAAATTAAATTATTTTGAGGTATTTAAATTTATTTATCTATTTTTTTAAAAGAAAAAATAAAAAATCAAGACATCCTAATTTTAAAAATAAAATCAGGTAAGATGTCTAATTACAATATTAAATTGTGGGATATAACATAGGACTTAATTTTATCAAGTTTATCATATGATTAGTATTAGATATTTTGATATTTTAATATTAAAATGTTTTACTTAAAAAAATAATTTAATATATTGTATTTTATTTTTTATTTTAAATAAATAATTACAACATATAAAATATTAAATAAAAGATTTTATTTAAATTATACTTAATTAAAAATAAATAAATAATTTTATTAATAAATTATTACTTTTTTATTTTATTATATAAAAACTAGGTTTATCAATATTGAATGGTGAAAATAATAATAGTATTAAATTAAAATACATATTTATGTCCACAGTATAATACAGGATAGTACAACACTTATAGACAAGTTTTGAGCTTGGTGTGAGTGAATAGGAACTTTAGATAGGTCAACTTTAAACTTTTAAGTGTTTGGGTGAAGTGGTCGGAGTTTCGGTTCTACCACCGTCCTAAACTCTACTAAAAAGTGTCCTGATGACTACGTGCCTCATTTGAGGGGTTGGAATGTTCATCAAGTCTGGAGATCGAATCCCCAGTTGCTAACAATTAATTCATATTAATCTCTTAACCATTACTCTTGTAAAAAAGCAAAAAAAAGCGCTTGGTGTGAGTAAATTTTAAATGCACTTTTGCCGGCAGATCTGAGACTTCAAGTGGAATTTTGATTATATAAAATGTTTTCTTAATTAAAAGTGGTTAAATCTAATTATGTAATCAAAAAAACTTTTTTTTTTTATTTTAGTTGCACAATATAAAGTAATTATCTCTCATATCTGATTTCACTTTACCCATGTATCAAACGATTCAAACTCATAATATCTTATTTTCATTGAAAAAAAATTACTGAATTATTTATGTAATTAGTTATAATCAAAAATTAAAAATAAAATTTAGTGGCTGTACTATGGTTGGCTGCCTATTTCTTCTTCCTAGATTGTTGGCATTTCATCTTTTCTTTGCC